TCTTGGGGACTGCCAACACTTAATGGGAAGAAACTTGTGTATGAGAACTGGCATTTCAAAGAAACGTCTTACAATGTTTTCCAGCAGAAAGAGGACAATAACCATAAATCAAAATATATACGCGTATATGGAAATTCTTGAACATGAGATAAAGAAACCCCTAAGTGACGTTAAAAGAAGGCAAAAATTTTATCAGATGGAGCATACTTTTAGGCTACCTAGCCGGGTAGAAGATTTAGATAAGGCTTTCTTAAAACGCTGTAAACAAGCAGAAAGATCCAGACACGATGGGGGATATTATCCATCTACAGGTACTAGAAGCTTAATTTTGCCTGTATTAGAATATCTGATAAATTCCTAAGTTGCCCCACTGAAAATTTAATTCCTCAATAGATAAAGGGAGCAATGAGGCAAACATGCAACTATTTGTGCCTAACACAAAGGCCAAAATAAATGATAATGAAGAAGGGACAGGAATTCTGGTAGTAATCGTGCCAAGGAAAGAAAATTCCTGGGCATTGTCAAATATGTAGCCTACATCTGTTGTTGGAAATTTTGACAGTCACTCATGATATGCTTAGAAAACAGAAGAAGGAGTGAATTTATAGATGGCTCAATAATCATAATCCAAAAATTAATGATTGGCAGATTCATGTCAACCTCGAGGAAGACCTCTGCTGGGTCTATTCTTGTTATGGTCCTGAAAAACATTTTAAATTGATAACCTGAAGAAATGAGAGCATATTTATACGTATCCAGGGAGCACAAAGTGAGAAAGGAGAGATCATATGCAGGATTACATATAGAGTCCATTAACAAATATTGATTGAGCACCTGTATGGGTAAGGTGTTAAAATGAATACATGGATTAATCAAGACACCATTCTTCCTCTCATGATTCCATTTTCAAATGGAGATAAAAAAATATGTACAGATAATGATAAAACAAAGTATTAAGTGACAAACTGCAGAAAGAATACCGGTAAAGTCATTGGATAGGTCAACAAAACGAACTATTACTTCTATCTAGCTTTATGTGTGTTGGTGGGTTTAGAATCTGGAATGATTTAGTGGACACAATCATAGGAACATGTTAGATAACAGAATTTGGACATGTAATAATAAAGAGAAGGATAATCTAGATTCAGAGAAGGAAAAGCATGGCACTTACACAGGGAACAGTTTGTGGTTTTGCCTGATTAAAGAATGGAATTCAGGGCTGGGCACAGTGGCTCACTCCTGTAATCCCAACACTTTGGGAGGCTGAGGCGGGTGGATCACCTGAGGCCAGGAGTTCAAAACCAGCCTGGCCAACATGGTGAAACCCTGTCTCTACTAAAAGTACACAAATTAGCTGGGCGTGGTGGCGGGCACCTGTAATCCCAGCTACTCAGGAGGCTGAGGCAGAAGAACTGTTTGAACCTGGGGGCAGAGGTTGCAGTGAGCCGTGATCATGCCCCTGTGCTCCAGCCTGGGCGACAACAGCAAGACTCCGTCTCAAAAACAAAAAACAAAACAAAACAAAAAAAACAAAAGAAATGCAGGACAGGGAGCAATAGGAAATAAAAGTTGGGTAATAAGGTTCTGGGATGCAGGTTGGCACAATAAACTAAAAACAATAAAATTAAATTTAACTTGGATGACCTTCTAGTTTTAGGATGGCAGTTTGATGTAGCTCCCCACTTTCTTCTTGAAAATCACCCCTAAACAATTTGAAACAGAATATGACCTCCAGCTTTAATGACTAAGAGGCATATATGAACCAATTACATCAAAATTAAGAGCAGATAGAAGAATGATTGATGACTTAGCAGAGCAAAAGAAGGTCAAGTCCATGTGCCTGACGAAGGAGATGCCAGGAAGAAGCAGCACTTCCAGAATGCTGAAAATGCTTAGGAAATAGATAAACCCCCACCAAAGGCAGAAAGGAGACAAAGGGCTAAAAACAGAAAAATTTGTCTTAAATCAGAAACAGTCTGAGGCAGAAGAAATTGAACCTCTAATCATACTCAGTGACATCAAGCAAAAAGGATAGGCTGGAGTTAAGTGCCAAGTACTGCTAGAAAGTTTAGGCTTTTAAAAAATAAAACAATTATTTATTTTCTTAAATGCTTTTTAAGTTTAAAAAATGTAAACGATATTAAGACATAGTTTAAAATGTTTTTAAGCAATTCTTAATCAGGGTTTTTTTCCCCAAAATACATACGCTCTATGTATCAAGTACCAACTTTAGAGATTCTAATTTTGTAGGGTAGGGCCCAGGAACTTATATTTTGGAAGTTTATCAAACTACTGAGCTAGTGTGAAAAAGGAATCTATCACCTAAATCTATCAAAAGGTGAAATGGTATAGACAAATTATAAGCATTTTCATTCACAGGACTATGTACAAGGTATTGTTGCAGGAATGAGGAATAGTGTAGTACACAAAAAAATTCCCTGTCCTTTTGGAGTTTATAATTTTGTAGGGAAGAAAGAGAGTAAATATATAAAATATGTAGAATGCTGGAAGTTGATAAGAAGAAAAATACAGCAGAGAAGGGGTAAAGGGAATTGGGTAAGAGGACACTGCAATTTAAAACAGCGTGGCCAAGGAAGGCTGTACTTAGAAGGTAATATTTTTGAATATAGATTTGAAGGAGGTGAGGGAGCAAACCATGAAGGTATCTGGGGAAAAGTGTTTCAGGCCGAGAGAATAGCTGAAGCAAAGGCCCCAAGACAGGGGGCTGCCAATGTATTTTTATTCAAGGGACAAAAAGGAGGCCAGTAGAGCTAGAGAAGAGTGAGCGAGGATATGAGATCATAAAGGTAACAGAGGAGCTAAACTGTATAGGATTTCATGGGCCTGTAGAGGATCTTGGCTCTTATTCCTATGAGGTGATAAGACATATGATTAAAAAAGTAAATATTTAAAGGGTCATCTATTTGTTTTTTTTTTTTAAGACAGAGTTTTACTCTTGTTGCCCAGGCTGGAGTACAATGGCATGATCTCGGCTCATCGCAACCTTCGCCTCCTGGGTTCAAGCTATTCTCCTGCCTCAGCCTCCCGAGTAGCTGGGATTACAGGCATGTGCCACCATGCCCAGCTAATTTTGTATTTTTAGTAGAGACAAGGTTTCTCCATGTTGGTCAGGTTGGTCTCAAACTCCCCACCTCAGGTGATCCGCCTGCCTTGGCATCCCAAACTGCTGGAATTACAGGAGTGAGCCACCGTGCCCAGCCCGGGTCATTTATTTTATATGTATATTTATGACTGAAAAGCAATCAAACTTGTTCATGTAATTAATAACAAAAATAAAAATTGCAAGTGGTATCTGGAAACCTTAGCTGGCTAAATAAATCTAGACAGTACCTAATACAGTAGCTTAGCTTAAATTAAGTATTTGATAAATATTTGTGAAATGAACAGATGGTGGATTTATAATGAAAAAGAAAAAGAGTTTTTGAAGTTCTTGTAAAATTGAAGGCAATATATCAAGAATTTAACAATTATCCTAAGATGCAGCCTTCATAAAAGATTTCAGGGCATTTTTACGGAGTATCATCTAATAGATTTTCCTATTTCTTATTTTATATAGATTTGGCAAGAAGGGGCTAATATAAAAAATCTTTCAGTCATTTTGAAGCATCTCCCTTTTGTTTAGAAGAGTGAAACACAGTTTTTTGTTTTGTTTTGTTTTGTTTTTTAACAAGTCTATCTTTTAAGCTTAGGCTTTCCTGGGTTCTAGTTTTAAAAATGTGTTCATCATGATTCATGCTTTAACTGGCTGTGTTTTATTCTTCTTAATTGAAAAACTTCATCTATTTTCACCCCGAAGTTTGGTTTATTTTTTTCTAAATTGACCGCCAATATCCTGAGCTCTAGGCTTCAGAAAAAAGGAACTGTGGAAGTGAAAAATCCACTTCTGGATTTTTCCATAGCTAGGAAAAGTGCAGCTTCCAAATGAGCCAATCTACTCTTTCTGGTTGTCAGAATTTGCTTTTAAATTACTAGGTGATAAACTATCCCATGGATAGCAAAACAAAACTGTCCTTTAGTATTAGTATTCTGCTTCTTTTGCTTGATAATAGAATTTTACAAAAGCATTATTATTATTATTATTTTTGAGACAGGGTCTCTGTCACCTACACTGAAGTACAGTGGCACAATCAGTCAGGTGAGCCAGTGCACCCTTGAACTCCTGGGCTCAAGCAATCCTCCCACCTCAGCCTCTTGAGTAGCTGGGACTACCAGGTGCATGCCATCGTATGGAGTTTTGTTTTTTTTTTTTTAAATGTAGAGGTAGGGGGTCTTGCTTTGCTGCCCAGGCTGGTCTCAAACTCCTGTCTTCAAGTCATCCTCCCACCTCAGCCTCCCAAAGTGCTAGGATTACAGGTGTGTGTCACTGCGCCAGGCTTTAACTGTTTGATTAACAGAAAAATGATGGACAACTAACTCCTTCAACTATTGAAATAGTTTCTAAAGGAATAAAAAAATGTTAACTTCTGCTATTATAGACAACTGCAGATATTTTTGGTACCATACCATGTTATGATTTCTCAGGAAAAATATGAATTCTGAAGTCATATAATATCAAAAGCATTACCTTACATGGCCAAGAGATCATTGATAGATGAACATAAAAATTTTTAAAAATATTATTTGTGCTAATATATGGGGATTAAGCTAGAATCAACTGATTTACCAAATGAATAGTCTACTTTCATTACTTTTTGTATCTAAGATTTGCATTGATAACTTTGTGTAATGCAAAAAAATTTGTATAAATCTATATTAAACTATGTTAATTTAAAGTGTGGGATCGAGTCTAATTACAAAGACTTGACTTCTTTTTTTTTTTTTTTTTAAATCAGAGAGTTAAAATAGAAAGGAAGAGAATAGAAAACTTGGTTACTTGGTTTAGCAGTTTTCTCAAATTGAAAAAAATAACAGCAAAACCTCCAGGGTTAAGAATTTCAAATGAGGCTGCTACACAAAGAAGACAGACCAAATTAGCTTACCACTTGAACCATTTTGAGATATCTGGCATATCTTGGATCCTTGGCTACAGTTAAGATATTTTCTGCTGATACTTCACTTTCCTGTAGTCCAGAGTCTTGTGTACTGCTCTGCTGTAGAGAGTATTTTGTGTAAATCTTTAGACAATTTACAAAAGGGGTCCATCATGTTACTTAAAAGGAATGCTCTTTCCATAATTCTAAGGCAATAAATTGCAGAAAAAAAAGCATCTCCCCAAATTTAAATACCAATAATTTAATTATGAGATATGTTTGCAAATATCTACAAATATTTAAATATCACTTCAGAGGAGGTTACACTTCAACACTATATTGGTTCCTTAAAACACAAGTATATTCATGCATTAAAATAAAAATTCTGTTTTACTTGTCCACAGAGTGCTGATACAAAGCATGAATTATATATAGGTGGTTATACTATTTTAACAAAACTTTTAAGAAACCTAATAAAACTATCAACTGTTTATAAATTAATAATAAATTTACTGAGATAATGATGAATTGATTTCCTAGATATCTATAATCTACCTAATTGAGCCCTTTATTTAGTAAATCATTTTATTCTAAGTGGACATGGCTCTTCTAACTTTTTAGAAAGCAATTTTTGGAGAAGTTGTAGAAGAGAAGCCAGTTTGTCAGACAGAATTATCTGGTTTTATATATTTCAGCTACTGATGGAACTATTAATGGTAACATTGTCTACAGAGTGGTTAAAAGTCATACTAAATACGACTTGTAATAAAGAATCTTGGGGAATGGTCTTTTTAGATAAAAATGCTATTGTTATACAGGCAGTCTTCACTTTGCATGGTACCATGTTACTGAAACTTGTGCATATCAGAACCATATCCTTGCTTAAATGCAAAACTAGAACTGCCTGTATACAGTATTTGATTTTTCTATCAAACCAAACATTTAGAAAAAGCTTAGTTTTGTGAATCTCTCTCATTATCTGTATATAAGCATTAAGAAGAATTTCCTTAGAAGAAATCAATTTTATGTCTATTGTTCATGCTGAAATGTAGATAAATCAATACCTTTATATCTTCACAGTCTTTAGACTATGAATGTGAATTACATATTGAAGTTTTTCCTCAGATAATTCAAATATAAATTAAATCTGTTGAAAATTCCAAAGCAAATAAAACATCCAAAAATCCTTTAGGTTTCTTCTGTTACATGATATAGCTAAGTTTTACAAAAGTCAGTGTGTGTGTGTGTGTGTATATATATGTGTGTGTATATATATATTCATCTATAATATACATAAATACAAAAATTCCAAAACACTGTTAATTAAATAAAAAATTAAAACAAAAACCAAATACGTTTTTTAATAATTTATGGAAATTAAACTCATATAATAGCAAAATGGTGCAAATGAGAACTATATCCTGGCCAGATATCAACTCTCAGTCGTTAACTTTTGCATAATAACCAAGACCTCAACAAGGTTTAATTATGAAACACCATTGCTATCTGAATGATCCATTAAAACCTCTATCATATCTCTCAACTGTCCTTCATTTATTCTCAAATCAAACTCACTCTGCACAATTGGATATTCTATTGTGAATAATGATGAAATCTGAACCATGAAATTAAAGTTGCAGAAATATCAGTACACAAACTTTGGGTCTTTGACTCATGTATAGATTAGAGAGAGTGATAAATAGATGATTTTTTAAAAAAGTGCACTATTCCCCTTTATCTGTTAATTGAGTGAACTATAATGTCAATGAAAACTCTGGATTAAGCAATACTTAAGCCCACTTCAAAATATTTTGTATAAAATATACCAGTTGATAACAACGAAGAAATGAGAAGTTGATGTGAATATTAAGAACATGCTGAGCAGTTATTTTATTAAGCTAATCAACACACAACTTTATCACAGTATTTCAAACTTTGGAAGCCAAAAGAACTTCACAAACCCTCTAAATAAATACATAAACATTTTTAAATAAAATTGCCAGAGATATACCAGGTTATTCTGAATTTGCAAAGCAAATTAAGAAATTCAGCTGTGATTACTGGTAATCATTTTTTTGGGACATTAAATATGTGAGGACCAACACAACTGCATAAAAATTTTAAAGGGCATATTATAGATGGCATTCATAATAGCACCTGGAAAAATTAATAATCAAAGTTAGGTATACTTAAAAATATTATAGAAATATATGACTGCTCTATCCACCACATAATAACTACTAGATAGAGTGGAAATATTTTCTTGATATTCTTTATAGATGCTTTGTTTTAGAAAGAGGATAGTCATATTTAATTGAGAGAATATAAAGTTAAACTCCTCTATAACATCTGGATATCCTCTTGCATTTTATATATTTGAGTGGCCAGGATAATTAAGTTTGCTATATTAAATAAATGGATGTTAAATTTTATAATATCTAATTAAGTAAATGATAATCTAATTTATTACCCAAATATATACTATATTCTAAATATATGGCTTTTCCTACAGGGCCTCATACCACATATCCTCAATATGTTTAATAAATTGAACACAGGTACTGAAAACAGAGTAGTGTAGTGTAGTATAGTGTAGTGTAGTAGGTAAGTGCTAGGGCTCTTGGCACCAGACTGTCTGGGTTAAAATTCTAATTCTTACATTACTTTTCGACCTTCAGCAAGTTACTTAACCTCTATATACCTCATTTGACCCATCTATAAAGTAAGATTGATAATATGGTGCTTATATTATAGGGCTGTTGTAAAGATTGAATTCGTTTATGAAAGGCACTTAGAAACGTGCATGCCTTGGTAGACAGAAAGCACTCTTGAAGTGTTAGCTGTTATCATCATTGTCAACATCATCATGATCTAAAAAATATCCTGTGAAAAGTGCCTCCAGGTACAAAGGCAGAATTCCATTATAAGTCTATTTGTTTAATTTGTTTATTATTACTTTGGTAGGCCACCACTTTGATAATTATTTTGTTTTAGATTTTAATACCTCGCTGAGATACACTAGAGATTGTTCTCAAAAAACAAATAATTTTTATTTTTTGAAATAAAAAGTAATAGAAAATTGAAATTCATACAGAAGCATAAGTAAGTGTTAAGATCTAAGAGCCAAATGTAAAGTATAGCTTTTATTAGGATGCTGATTCAAATGAATCAACTTCAGAAACACAGTTTTTACACAACTGGTATTTCTAAGATCAGTAGCTCTCAAATTTTAAGAGCCTACAGATCACCTAGGGGTCTTGTTAAAATGTAGATTCTCAGCAGTTTTGGGGTGGAGCCTGAGATGCTTCATTCTAACAAGCTGCCAGGTGATGCCCATGTGGGTTGGTCCATGGGGTGTACTTGAGTAACAAGGGGTTAGACAATACCAGCGAATGTTCATTTATTTTTATTTTTTTTATTTTTGAGGCAGGGTCTTGCGCTATCACCTAGGCTGGAGTGCAGTAGTGCAATCTCAGTTCACTGCAACCTCTGCCTCGTGAGCTCAAGTGATCCCCTCACCTCAGCCTCCTGAGTAGTTGAGACCACAGGTGCGTGCCACCACACCTGGCTAATTTTTGTATTTTTAGTGGAGACAGAGTTTTACCATGTTGCCCAGGCTAATCTCAAACTCCTGAGCTCAAGGAATCCACTTGCCTCAGCCTCCCAAAGTGCTGGGATTACAGGCATGAAAGACTGCACCTGGCCAATTATTGTTAATTACATTGTATATGATAAGGGCATTTATATAAGAAAAATGTTACAAAAGAACATATCAAAACTTTTCAGAGATGCTCAAAAATTTATGCAGGGGTGAGATGATAAGCTGTCTGGGATTAATTTCAGCAAGTGACCAAGAAAATAGATAAAGCAATTGTGACAAATCATAACTGGTGAATTCAGGTCTATTTTTGTGTATGTTTAAAAATTTTACAATAAAACATTTTAAAAGTACATTTCTTATAAGAACTTAGAAAAATTTCTAATTATTTTGAAGAAAATAATTATTTGAAGATTTTTCCTATTCCTACATAGACTGATTTTCTTTTTTATAGGCAAAGAAAGTATTAACTTAAGGAAGCCCTTCAAAATAACACAGCTAATTTGTTTTTCCCAAACTTCATTTTCTATGTTAAGGTTTTAAAATTTTACTATTAGAAGTTTTACATTTTTATTTTTCTTCCTTCCAACCTGCTGCTTAAAACTATCAGTTTCAACCAAAAACATCTGCTCATTTCTTAGAACTCACTTACCTGTGGTTGCTCTGAAGTGGCTTCAGGATGTGCTCCATTTGTGACACTGGTGACATTTAAAGGCGATACTTCAACTGTGACATCATCTAGGCCTGGGATAGATGACAACTGAAAAAAGATGAAAAGAAAATTGGTATTGAAATATGAAGATAGTACCTGCATAAACACTATAAGTTTCTAGGTTTGTATATTTTTAATAGCTGTCTTAAGTTTTAAGGCTATACAAACAGGTTCATAATATCTTGTCTTAAATTTTCCATGTCATAAACTAAAAGTGGAAGACAGTCACAAATTATTTTGAAGAACTTCTCAAAAATCTAATTTAGTTTATATAACCATTATTTTCAAACTACAGGCTATCCTAGTGTAATGACTGAGAGCTGGTCTTTGAAGTCAGACTGTCTAGGTTTAACTTTTAGCTCTACCACTCACAAGCTGTGTGATCTTGTGCAAATCTCCCTATGTCTCAATTATCTCACCTGTAGAGATAAGAAAATGTACCTAGAAAAGTTGTTGTAAAAATATTTCTATTAATAATACTTTGAAAAAAAAAGGGCTTTGTGCAAATTTTGAGTTTCAATTATCTAGGATATGCCAAAGCTCTTGTCTTTACACTTTAATGTATGACACAGCTCATTCTTATTTCTTTCTTTGAACATTCACCACTGAACGTTATTAAAATACGTTTCTTGTATGCAAAAAAAATGGGCATATTGTTGGTATTTCAACCTGAAATGGTTTAGCATTTCAGGTTAGATCTGCAAGACCCATAAAAACCTTCTTTTCTGAGTTCATCCTGATATCAATGGCACACATTTGTCAGACGTTTGGCTAATTTTGGGGATGACTCTATGGCCATGGAGATAACTAAGGTTAACTTGTCCATATGGTAACTTAATGTGTGACCTTGGACTCTAACTCCCTAAGAATTCCTTAAACACTAAAATAAGACACATATTCATAATAAAGAATAATAATAATAAAAAAACCCAATGGTAATAAGATCTCAAGCAGCAATACTCATTGAGAACTGTTGACTGATAACCATAGTTAGCACAGTGGCTACGGCCCAAATAGTTTCAAGTGGGTATGGCTGCTAGAGGAATACTTGAACATGTTCAAGGCCAGGTTTCCAAACAAGAGAAATGTTCTAAGAGAAACACAGTTGCTGAAGTCCATAAGGACACGTAGTAAGTACAAACTAGACATTCTGGTCATATTAAAAAGGGATATCATTTTTTTTCTTCCTCATAAATATTCACTGAATATTTCTTAGGTCTTTTTTTGGTAAATGGACAAAGAAAATATTAATTTCAGAAAAGTTAGTAATGAAACTACACTACTGTCTCCATAATTTTATAAACAGAAAAAACACATGTAAAAAATATTAAAAATGAAACAAAACTAAATACATCACTGTTATCGAAATCTTTAAGCTTTCAATCTAAAACAGTCTTCTGTTTTTCTTAGTTATCATTTGCAATTTCTGACATCAAAATTGTATTCTTCATTAGCATTTAAGGTATTTGCAAATAGAAACAGATGATATTGTCTCTAAAATTTGCTCTGAGACATCTAAAGATTTATATAACTATTATTGTATTATCACATAATAACTAGTAAAATAAATTTGGAATTTTCTATCAAATGAAGTGCGCTTGATAACAGCTCAACTTGTTAACATGTTACTCGCATTATGCGTTTGCCTAGCACAATGAAAGAAATCTCAAACCATGTGTACGTTTGAATTAATGGTTCATAATGAACACCATTTTCTTTGCAATTGCAGTAAAATTAAAAACACAACCAGTATCACTTCACAGATACAGAAGTTAAATGGAATCACTCCCAAATGCAATGAAAGTTAAGTATGATTAAGAAAGCTGGTATATGTACAGCAAAGTTTATACTACAAATTATTCAGAAATACTAACCTTTGCATCTAAAATATTTAGAGTTGTTTCAATTTGTTGGATACGAAGCGAAAGGTCTGCCAGTTTCTGGAAAAGAAAAATTAGAGACATAAATATAAAGATTTTAATTAAAATAAACTGTTAACAATAACTAAGGGCAGATTTGAAAATATTAAAAACCATTAAATATTTGTCATATTCTAATGTAGTACTGTCTTATTTACATGAGTAGGAATGAGAACTCTTCTATTACCTGTATTAGAATGCTTCTTAGTTTTTGGTTTTTTTTGGGACAGAGTCTTGCTCTGTCACCAGGTTGGAGTGCAGTGGCGTGATCTCGGCTCCCTGCAACCTCTGCCTCCTGGGTTCAAGCGATTCTCCTGCCTCAGCCTCCCAAGTAGCTGGGACTACAGGCACGCGCCACCACGCCCAGCTAATTTTTGTATTTTTAGTAGAGATGTTGTTTCACCATATTGGTCAGGATGGTCTCGATCTCTTGACCTCGTGATCTGCCCACCTTGGCCTCCTAAAGTGCTGGGATTCAGGCGTGAGCCACCGCACCCAGTCGCTTCTCAGTTATTTTATAAAATCATATTCACTTATAACAAAGTGACATTTTCTGCAAACTCATTATCAGAGCAGTAAACAATTGTTGAGACCAGAATATAAACAAACCAGGATAGAGCCTTTTGTTTACTACTGTACCTGTAGTGCCCAGAATAGTACCCTGACACTTAATAGGAGCTTAATAATTATTTGTTGATGAAGAAATTTTTTCATAGAAAATAAAAGAATAAAAATTATTCAAAGACACTCTGCAACAAAGTCTGCCTTTATAAATTACTTAAATGCATAAGCATATATAACTCGTCTCAGATTTAAACATCCATAGTTTGAAAAATAAAGGGGGATGGAATTGGAAGACGAGTAATTCATTTCGGAAAGAGAAGAGAAAAAACTAGAGTATTAAAACAAAATCTACCATCAAAACGCAAGGTAAACCAGATTGAAGAGCTTATCATGCTTGTTACTCTATATAAATTGTCAATATACCTTGTAAATATACACCTACACAAAGAAAGGTAACATCATAAAATATGACCTATAAGAACATTTACTTAAAACCTCCTAATCTTAAACATTACATTCAGTCACATAATCCAAGAGCAGTTAGCCAGTTTACAAGTTGGCAGATACACAGCATCCTGACTGTATTCTGGGCTATTATTAAGATCCTGACTATTAAGTAGAACTTTATCATCCTGTGAAATGGTCACTTTGCCCACAATTAGAGGGGACAAAAAACTGAAAGTGGCCACAAAGCTTCTTTACAGATCACTTATTTTTAGGTTAACATCTTGATATCCACAAAGATATAATCCTCAAATAAAGTATTAGGATCCAGTTTTTACGGTATCAAAGCTAAGTTCACCCTTGACTTCTAGAATTCATTCACATAAGGCTTTTAGGTAAACACCAATACAGGTTTATAACATGTATTATGGATGAATCCCTCTCCAAATTATAAGTGTATTCCTTAAAATCATAGAAATTTAATTTTGGCAAATCTAATCAGTGTCTCAATTCACTAGAGAAGAAATTCTACAGCAAATTAATATGTAAAGTGAATGATAATTTCCACCTTAATTAAAAACAGACATATTGGTTTGACTGAAGGAAACAAAAAAGGAAACAAAAAATTGAATTAAAAATTTTTCTGTTTTAATATACCTTTAGAAGTATTTACTTTTAAGCAATAATCATCAATATTGTAAATATTTGAGTCTTTGCCTTGCCACATATGGCACACTGTATATGCAACATATCAATTGAAATCTTACACCAAATCTATGAAGTAGGAACTATTATGCCAATTTTAAAGACGAGAAAATTGAGTCTTATAGAAGTAAAATATCCCAAACTCAAACCCTCCAACTCCAGAGGCAATACACTTCATCAGACTTTTTGAGAATTTTACATTGTTAAAACATAATGGTAAATTATTGGGTATTGCATAGAATTTTTGTTATCCAAAGCTAACAAATGATCAATTCGTTTCTCACTAAGATGATTCTGTGCCAAGAGGAAAAGCCTTTTGCTCTTCTGATTCTGAGATGATCACTTACAAAGTGGTTCTGAACTACAGTACATGAACTAGGATGAGAAAAAAATTCTACCTTTATTTTTATCTACTTCTAGCTTAAATTTGGCATTGTTTAAAAACATAGTAAAAACAAAAATCACCATAGGTTGGGCACAATGGCTCATGCCAGCACTCTGGGAGGCCGAGGCAGGTGTATCACCTGAGGTCAGGAGTTCGAGACCAGCCTGGCCAACAGGGTGACACCCCCATCTCTACTAAAAATACAAAAAAATTAGCCAGGTGTGGTGGTGTGCGTCTGTAGTCCCAGCTACTGCGGAGGCTGAGGCAGGAGAATCGCTTGAACCTGGAAAGCGGGGGTTGCAGTGAGCTGAGATCATGCCACTGCACTCCAGCTTGGGCGATGAGTGAGACTCTATCTCAAAAAAAAAAAAAAAAAAAGAAAAAAAAATCACGGTGGTTTTAGGATCTATGACTGTCATCAATAGAAATCATAGATTTTTTTTTTAATCACATCACAATTGCTGCAGATTTCTTTACACTTCAAAATTATGGTTATTAGACATACGAAAGGATAATATAATTTAATGCTTTAATAAATAACCTACTAGTATAACATAGTTTTAAATTTTTTTAAGTATATAACTGGTTTCTTTTGTAATCCTAGGCATTTTATTTTATCCACCTGAAAACATTAATTTGGTTTCACTAGACTGTCAAAACGTCCATGGCATGACTAAGAAAGAACTCCTTTTCAAAGATAATTGAGTCTAACAAATGGTTTTGTATGTTCCAATGTAATTATTGCTATAACATACCTGAATGTATACTTTTTAAAGAGACATTGTCAAGTGAAAAGGTATACCTGGGTTCACTGATGGGTTGCTGAAGTTCATTTCTAAGATGTTTATGCTTGTGGCATTTTCCTCATACAATTCCCAGACCACTATAAAACAGGTGTTTCAATGCTGGCTATATTGACATTTGTGGGTGAAATATTCTTTGTTGCAGGGGACTGTCCTGCACACTACAAGATGCGTAGCAGAATCTCTGGTCTCTATCCACTAAATGTCAGTAGCACTTCCCAGTTATTACACTCAAAAACACCTCTAGACATAGCCATATGTACCCTGGTTGAGAGCCACTGCTCTAAATTATGGATGACTATGGATATAACGAAAGTAACATAATTGGTGACAGTAGCTGTTCTCACCTCTGAAAGTTTTAGCAAGAGGAAATGGGAAGGTAACGGTCTATCATCCATTTAACCATTGTTTTATGAACACTGAAAACAAACTTGAAATGCTACGGTTTGGGTAACAGGGGAATTTATAAAGTCCCTGATATTTGTCAGATAAGCTGAAAGCTTGATTTACTATCCATCTATTTCCAAGGCAGTACATTTTATAAAGTTTAAAAAAGGACAAAATAAAGAAGGAAATATGGAGTTACTAGTTGAATACGGAAACAAAACACTGGTTTTTCATGGTTGTAAAATACCTTGCTTATATATCCATTTATCTAAAAGGGAAACAGTATTTTAAGATAATGGATCTCTTGGTATACCCCACTGTGTTGTATGTGCCCCAGAAGCCAGAAAAGGAAGCAATCAATGGTTTTATTAGGTTGTGTCTGATACTTAAGCCCAGCAGTTGTTAAAGATGTAAGAGCAAATAAGGATTTAAGTAAAACATTATCTGATTAAAAGTTAAGTCCAATGGCAGGCTAAAAAAATGAATGTAGAAGATAAGCACTAAAGAAACTTCTAGGTTATGTGACAATTCTCAGCACTTTTGCTTGTACCTAAAGATTTTAGAAAAAAGAAAAATTTCAGAATATTAAAAAATTATTTAAAAATCCAATATCTCAGGCATGTAATAAGTCTTGAGTTTGGCTGAGGGCGCTTGTAATCCTAGAACTTTGGGAGGCTGAGGCAGGCAGATGGCTTGAGCTCAGGAGTTCAAGACCAGCCTGGGCAACATATGGAAACCCTGTCTCTACAAATACAAAAAATTAGCCAGGTGTGGTGACATGCACCTGTAGTTCCAGCTACTTGGGGCACTGAGGCAGGAGGTCTAGGCTGCAGTGAGCTAAGATCACTCCACTCCACTCCAGCTTGGGTGACAAAGTGAGACCCTGTCTTACAAAAAAACAACAAAAAAAGTTTGAATTAAAATAACATTCTGGCCAGGTACAGTGGCTCATGCCTATAATTCCAGCACTTGGGAGGCCGAGGCCAAGGGATCACTTAAGCCCAAGAGTTGGAGACCAGCCTATAATGTAGTGAGATGCCATCTCTAACTCACACACACACACACACACACACAAACACAAACAAACACACAAAATTAGCCTGGTGTAGTGACATGCCTATAGTCCAAGCTTCTAGGGAGGCTGAGGTGGGAGGATCACTTGAGCCCAGGAAGTTGAGGTTGCCCTGAGCTGTGATCATGCCACTGCACTCCAGCCTGGGTGATAGAGCAAGACCCCGTCTTAGAGGGAAAAGAAAAAAAAATTATAAAAAACCCCAAAAACCCAAAGTTCACATTTGACACTCCTGTTTACAAAGTACCACTACTTTAAAACTCACTATAAGGTTAAATGCTCAGGTTTCACCTGCAATATGCGTAGATCTTAATGTTGCTTCCCGCCAACCCCTCAAAATTTGCAGTCCCAATGGATGACCATAAGATTTTGCTGACTAAAGCAAGAATAAAAATGCTCACTGGGGATTTGTGATGGAAGAGGAGATGACCCTAAGTACCTCTGCAATGTGGGTCTGATTCTACTACTTTCTCTGTCATCTAATCTCTCTTCTACTCTGGTGCCAATCACTGGAAGAGTTACAAAAGTAGCCTAATATACAGAAAGTTTTTGCAAAGTTGAGTTCTTCACAGAATGCAGTTTTATATTCTTCTCTTTAGTGAAGAACTCTAAAAACAGTGCCACAGATGAAGAAAGAAGCCTAGCAATTTGTTTCAAACTT